ATGAGAGGAGTCAACCAGTATAGCAGTTGCCGTAACCTAATATCGATTAAAACAACGTAGATGTGATTCAGATAAAACTTACAGATCCAATGAAGAGGTAAGGAAAAAATATTGCAATGAAATACCAAAAGTTCCATCCCATGTGGAATCAAGATTAGCAAAATATATATCCGAAGGTCTAAAAAGTAACAAATCACAGCAGTGTGTATGTGGAGGTATATTCACGAAGAACTTTCAAAAATGTTTTCACGAGTGCAAGAGAACTTGAGGGTATCGAAACTATAAATCTCATGGCAAAACGTCTTAAATTCAGTCCCCATCCTGATCTTTATAATAGGCTTTTTAGATAAAAAAAAAACTAGTGCAAACGGACGACAAATAAAACTAGTGGTCCAGTGAACGCGAAAGAGGACCACATGAATCTTAAAAGGGCCATGTTGTTCGATGAACAAATGTATCAAAATCAGACAGTGAAGAATAGATGGAAAAAGTTATCTTTGACGTGAGAGCACATACAAAAGTCCTGAGTCAATGATTTATATAATAATAAAGCTAACTGATGTCAAAAATCTAGTCTTACACGTATATAAAGACCTAAAGCATGGATTTGTTACAAATGAAGCATACGAAGATAACCGAGATAGTCTAGTTTGCATGGATTGCGATGATGAGTTAGATGTATCATCTACGGAAGAACATTGACCCCTATCACCACTTACATACTAAAGACATGAACTTGACCCCAATGCACCGTGTTTATGTCAATATGCACAAAAAGAGCTAACGAAAAATACCTTAGGTTTGGGTCATCGTTCTTTTTAAATAATAATATGACATAGTGTAAGTACAATTTAAACAGAATTATCATTCACATAAATCCTATTACCACATGTATTTCTTTCAGATAGACCTTAAAATCTGCCTACTGGTAAATCAACACGAAAGCATAACAGCTTTGAAGAATAACACTACATCACGTACCACTATGATAGTATAAATTTCATCACTTGAGAGATGTATTTTGTCGGAAATAATGCGCTCAAACCATGTGTAAGCACTACGTAACTTCTCGTTCGTCATGTTAAGTGTATTATTCCATCCGCAGTCCAAATGTGTTCTTCAAAAGTGCTAAACATCAGATTACTGACTCTCATATAGAACGAGTCAGCGTACACGATGATGAAACTTCGACTCAAGCTCTCATAGATACCATCACAGAATAAACTCTGTGTTGAAAGTGACCTACCCAGCAGCAAAACTGACGACGGTATGGGAAACAAACTGCTCACTCAAACAAACTAAAATCGACAAGTTCTCTTTTCTCAGTAGCTCTGAATTTACCAACTGACATGTACGTGCCAAAGCACATAAATTGAAAGAACCGAGAGAAGAGTACATGTTCGTATTTCTGAGCATGTTCCAAAGAAATTGAGATGCAAGGGACTAGGGCTCTCAACAGTGCAATAGCTCGGCATTTCCTTGGTACCGGGCATACTATTGATCTCTCATGCTTTGAAAATGATTAGCAGACAAAGAAGTACGGCTGCTCTGTTTTGCTGAAGCGATCGAGATAAAAAATTTTAAACCATATCTTTGTATTCAAAAAGAGACTAATAAACTTATTACTACCCTGGTAATCCATTTTTTTGTTTGCCGTTTTTACGCTTTTGGTTATTAGTTTTATTTTGTTAATATTTAGTTTGTATTATATTCTTCTCTCATTACCGAATTCTTAAATCATCCCATCACTCATAAATGTTCACTCACTTGATCCTCTTAAATTATGTAAACTTTTCAAATTCTATTCAATTATTACGTAACCCATGTTATCAGTATTTAATTCCATGGATCAATCATTACCTCGAGAATTATCGCAGTTTATCTTATCTCGGAATTCGCCGAAAAGAGAACTCTTCGCTGAACTAATCTTTCTTATTTAATATCTTATCTGTCTCTGAATTCCACTCAACTATTACACCACCCATCCTTAATGTTTCCTTGATTCTAACACCTAATAACATCGGACCTGTTCTTGCATATATATATAGTTATAATCGATAACCTTTATCATTCCGATCCTTTACTTTTACTTATGTCAATTGTTCCATACTATTTCTTACCTCAATGTAAAATTCCAATACATATTTGAGTGTAAGCAACCAATTGCATGAAATTTTTAATGAGAAGGCTTTATAAGCTTTTTCATAATTTTGACGAGGAAACTTCTAATACTTGGTATGAATACAGAGCTAAGGAACCGATGTTTATTCAATTGGACCAAACTACATTCTTTTGTATTGTGTAGGAATTAATTTGTCCTACAGATATTCTACCAGAACTGTAAACGCGATACTGACAGTCTCGTGGTCTATACGAAAGATATCGTCAAAACAAGGACAATTTGGCTTAAAACTTTATCTGTTGCTAACTGTAAAAACAATTAAGGAGATTCTAATTACTAAGTAGAACGCACAAACATACCGATCAGTATTGCGGTAACTTATCGAAATGAATAAAATAATTCATGAATCCCACCAATATAATAGGATAATTATGTCCTTCAATTGGTAGGACACAAGCAACAAGGATCAGTCTACATGCACATCAGATTAGATTGATGTGGTGGGCATTTAAGTAACAATTCGATTGATTAGTTATGAATATAACTAACGTGATGGAGTACAAGGCCTTTTGTAGTCAGTCACTCGTATTAAATTACATCCAAACATTCATTAACTGTGCTTGATATAATCGATTCTAATGTGAGGAAGAAAACAAATTATATCAACTACTTCACATTAGGTTATACACAGTTTATATGGATGATATTATGTAATAAGACGAATCAATAACTATTATATTCCTGAATAATGCACTAGCATCTCATTTTCAGTCACGTATGTAAAACTGTAAGCTTTAGGTTGATATTAGCAAACTTATCCATTCTATTTGAATAATAGGCCTAGAGCCCTTAGATGCTCTGGTACGGCCGAGGATCCGCTCTCCCTCTCGAAATCCTCTCACATGGCAACGCGAATACAGTCACTGTCAGGGAAGTCATACTCACCGCATTCTTGAGACGGCGGTGTTGTTTACGAAATTAGGAGAACGAAAAGTGAATGTCTCGCGATTTAACAGGGTTGGTGAATATGGCGGATTCACCTAGGTGGGTTGGAAAACTCTGATTCGAAACAAATAATGCATATGAGATTCAGGATCCTGAGGGACCGAATAGCGTATGAACCAATCGTTGGTCGCCGGCTACCATGGTAATTCATCTTCTGATGTCGCTCCACTGCCTTGTGAATTAGACCTTTAGGTAGAAGGCTCCGGGTATTGCCTCTTATGAAAAACATCTGCTTCAGTTTAGACACCTGAGCCGAATCACAGCCCATACATAAATCAAGTGACTTGTGTGGTGCATTATGTATTCAATGCCCCTAGACATGAATTGTTGTCCACAAGATTTTTATGTAAAATAATGATGATAGGATCATCCTTTATGTAAAATTGATTTATTAAAACTGATAAAGTACTATAATAAAATAAAGTAGTATATAAAATGATAATAATATTCCATGAACAAACGGTATAACAAACATTGAATAATGGATTTAAAACTCATAATACTTAGTGTATTATTGTTATAAGAATTTGTCCAAAAGCTACACATTGCGATAAAATAATTTGACGATTTTTGGCAAACTCTAAAATAACAAAGGAAATTTAATAAATCAATTAAATGTAAACATAAATCAAAGTTATCAAGACGAAGGTTATTGGAAATTATTGAAATCATGAATGGAACTAAGATAGATAATCATTGAGATAATTGAAAACATTGAACAGCTGACAACTAAACGGTCTCATACCATCGATTGATTTTGAGTGATATTAGGCAATATGTTTAATTATTGATTATGCGAGTTGTGAGGATCTCTGTCCAATATGTTGCATTTACCAACACGATTTAATCCAACAGTCAATGACTTTAAAAGTTAAACTCGTCAGTGAAACTTTATCCCATTAACTAATTAAATAGAGGCCCAGTAATTCTAAATATTAGAAGGGGTTTTGTAAATATTATAGTAATTTTAATAGTTGGGATCATGAGTCAATTGAAGCTAGAGGCTCAGTGGTCTAATGGTTAGGCGATCACGCGAGAGACTGCTGGGTTCGAATCTCGCGAGGCGGGGTCGTGGATGTGCACTACTGAGGAGTCCCACAGTAAAACGAAACGGCCGTCCAGTGCTTCCAGGTTCTCCATGTTGATCCAGCTTCAATTGACTCATGATCTCAACTATTAAAATTCTAAATATATAGAATATTAACTTGTTCATTATTTGCAGTACCACATAAAAGTAGGTAGTATGAGCTAGCTGATTTAGTGTAAAGCAGACACGAACTTGAGACGGGTTGAACTCAGGACTTTCCGATCTAATAGTGAACGTATTACATTTAAAACCAAATCTCTACGAAATCTTCAGTTAAACTTTCATAAAGGACTAACTTCAAGATGAATTCTTGAAGTGTTTGTGAGTTGTGATAAGTGAAGTTCAATTATGTTAAGAATGACAGTCATAACTACCGATCTAACATGTTTTTATTGTAATAGTTGTTTTTCAGTTTTACTATGCCTAATAATCAGAGGAAAGGCGAGAACTGATTGATAAAATTAAATTTGAGGCTGAATGGTCAGAATAATAAAACGCATCATCCGAAGATTGTCAAATTAATTTCAACAACGGACTAAACATCATATATTGTTGAATTAATAGTTAATTGATCCGCTTACGAAAACATTGAATATTTTGATTTAAGTTAGGCTGCTAATTACTTCTCTTAATTCAGTTACATTTTAATCTATAAAACATCCGTTTAAAGTCAACATCAACTCCTATTTTTATTAAAGACGTCGTTTTTGCTGGAATGAAAATATATCAGATAGAGAAATTCTCTTTGTTACAAGTGTGAAGTACAGATACAAACAAATGACGTACTTCACAAAGTCTTAAACTAAGAGCAGTTTCCAGATTACTGGGAACAGAGAATAATCGTGAAACGCTCCGAGACAATAGATGCCGCGTTTGACTGCGTGGAGTTGATTCAGCCAGATAAACGTTTCGTGTAACCATAGTTTCCTCGCCATGTGACATATTCCAGCGTAATTCTGATCCTGTTAGTCGGGTGATTTCATCAATGATGAGCTTATTAGAACGTTTTTTTATACGACGATGATGCGTATACTCCTCCAATTCGACAGGATTTAATGAATTTAATTGAGATAACGAAATCGGACACAAGTTTAGTTCAGAAGCACCAGTAATGTTTCTATAGTCATAGAAGAAATACCAAAATCATAAATATACGAGTATAAATTTTCACTACTAATATATTTTACGTATGTGGTTTAAAGGAATCAATTGAACAATTAAAGAAAATGGAAAAAAACGAATACAAGTGTTGTTATGCCGAAAATAAGTTGATATTCATAATTAGATATCATGGTTTAAATAGGTCTCAACATATTATGTCGTTTCAGTGCAAACAAATGAGTTGGTTTGTAGTGGTAACCATTTCTAAAACAGGATAAAAAGATGTTGATTCCCAGCTGTACTTTCATCGATGAACATTTTAAAGTTAACCAATTTTATGACAAAGTGTCATAATCACAATAACTCCTATGTTTGTATTGAAAGGGCTTCAGTCTTATTATTTACAATAACAAAATGTGGTCAATCAAAATTTTTCAGAGCACAATAGAATTCCTGAAATACACTATTAGGCTCAACAAATTTGTGTATGATATGGAACACAGGCTTTTTGATATTTCTGGAGTGATTTAACTTCCTCTTTTGACAAAATCTATCATTTTTGACCCATGAATTTACATTTTCTGCAACGATGACGATATCATTGTCATGACTGAACTGGGTAATAACCATAAAAACTAAGAGGGCATTCTAAAAACGTATCGTTTGACTGAACCATCTCTTTTACATATAAGTATATCTGAGAAAAGAAGTGGGTTGTTCTCCTCTTTGTATGAAAAAAATTTGCATCCTGTTCTGTTACCGATAACTATGATGTCATATATATGTATCGCTTATAAAGGTATATATTTTCGAATGGAACTTTAGCGAAATTTTCAATATGTGTCATGAAAATATTAGTTAATGATGCCACACTCGTATTCTTGTTCACTACAATACTACCATAACTGCCCTTGTTAAATAGAATACTAAAGGAACACTCATATAAACCTTTATCAATCTATTGGAGGCATTCACTTTCGAATGTGAACTAAACTAAGTCAGTGCATTCAAGTAACAAATCTTTAGAAATTCTTAGAGAAATGAGTACAGTTGTGCACAAGGAATTCACAGTACAAAAAAAAACACTTTTTTAATCGATATTAATTTTACCTAAATAAATTAGTAACTTAACAAAATCCTTATTGAAATGACTTTGGATAGGGTTCAACAACAGCTATATAATAAGATTATGTGTCCGTGATCAATTTGGATGTCTGTATGATTAGATTGGTTGAAATGTATTGTATTAATATACATCATATAATTTTTGATAACCCTTATATTTTTATATCATTATTCAAATGTATTAGAAGGAAAAACTATTTTAGTTTTTGTATTGGTTATTTGAAGCAAACGATAATGGGATTGAAACCCCGAAATAAACATCAATTATGGAGTGTAGATAAATCAAGCGTGCGAAATTCAAAATAGGATGATGAAACGCATATCCTGGATCCCATTTATTTATTTTATCTTATTTGAACACAGATATTGGTACAACGAGGCACCAAATATATATGCACCAGACAAACCTCATTTGATGTGTGAGGGCTATGATACAGCTCGGGTGTCAAAACTGAAGTAGATGGTTTCCTTACGGGGCCACACCCTGAGCCTTTGATCTAAAGGTCTGATTTACGAGGTGTTGGAGCATCGTAAGAAGATGCAGTCCTATGGTAGCCAGTGACCAACGAGTGGTTCATACACCACTTGTCCCCTCAGGATACTGGGGCCCATGTGCACCATTGGTTTGGAATCAGAGTTTTCCAACTCCTCTAGGTGGACTCTCCGTGTCCACCAACCCGGTCAAAGCTCAGGACATTCGCTTCTCGTCCTCTCAATTTCGTGAACAACACCCCCGCCACGAGAAGGCAGTGAGCAGGACTTCCCTGGCAGAGGATACATACGCGTGGCCATGTGAGAACATTTCGAGAGGGTGAGCGGACTCTCCCAACTTTCAGCCGTACCAGGGCATTCGGATCCCATTGATAAAAGTGTCTTAAGTTTTCTTTATACATTTCTTTTCGAAGTGTTTTTTGTAGTAGATTTATATAACTTGAAAAAAAAGATAAATTATAAAATGAGTAACTAACCTTTCTTCTTCTTTCTGAGGTAATATCTGAGTCATTTCTGTTTCTGTTAAAAAATCTGTAGTCAATTCAACTTGTTCTAATACAACATTCGATTGTTTGATATTATCCAATTGAGTAGAATTATTGATTATTTCAGTGCTGAACTGTGCAGAAGGCTAAAATAGAAAAAGATACTGTGGTGTGGGCTACTTATATTCACATAAGCAGTATATAACGGTAGTCAGGCATAGAATATATTTCAGTAGAAGATGGAGAAGGAAAGAACGGGAACCGAAAGCCATTGGTGTGAAAATGCATGAACAATGAGATCTGAGACGATGGACTGATATTTGCAAAAGGAACAGTCAAGTTTGATACAATGAATTGATATTTTGCAAATTAACTATTTACTGTATAGTTCTCAGATTTTAGTGAGATGTTTTGTGATTTCATGTTCTAATGTCCCACTTGTGTTCTTGTTCACTACAATACTACCATAACTGCCATTGTTAAATAGAATTCGCAAACTGAAACATGGATATAAAATAATCTAAATATTAACTAAATAATATGTATGATAACGTAGTTGATAGAAGAGGTGGTAGGGCATAAAGATAGGAAGTTTTTGATGCGTTAGCTCCACACTTTCAAAGGTATTAGTGTCTGAGAGGAAAACCAGTGGGGTAAGGTAAGTTTTGATGTTTTTTTAGAGTCGAGATCAAGATCACTGAAGATGCTAGTCGTTCGAGCGGAACGTTTTACTGCTGTCGCATTCCTCTAGTCAGAAGTACAAATTCACCCTTATACCTTAAATTAGTGCTTTGGGTTTAAAAGTTTTCCAAACGATCTATCTGAAATGGTAGAAGATAAAGGAATAAGTGTCCAAGCCAGTATAGCTTAATTGAGTTATTACGATAGGCAAACCTGACTACCACGTCAAGGTAGCAGCTACTCTAGGGGATGTAGCTTATTACATGAACTTCAGAGGAAAATTCCTCTGTATGAACTGGCACACACATCATTGTATATGTAAATCAAATGATCAGTAGGTAAAAATAACTAGAATTATTAATTGATTCGTAACTTACCATTAGTGCACTGTCCACCTTAGTTGAAATACTGGAAATGTAGAGACATAAATGAATACATAAGCAAATTCAAGTGGAATACTTTAATATTAATAAAGAAAAAAGAACTACAGTAGGCTCACATAGTTGCGATAACCATAGTTTTTCTTTCCGATTGTTTTTCGTTTCCCCATTTTCTTTTTCAGTGCCACGTTGTATCAGGTCTCATGTGTTCAAATGAAATGATCAAAACTGGTACACTACCTCGAACCTAAGCATCATTTAGTCCAACGTTTTGATTATACACAGAATACACTATAGAATTAAACTACTATACTAGATCACAATCAAAGATTGAGATAAAACAACATCCAACAAAGAGTGAAGCCCAATCGAGTTAAACTTACAAATATAACGATAGTCTACATATTTTTTAATTACGGTAAGGCGAATGTCTTTGCTTAGTAACCAATCACACTTCACCGTGAAAGAACAAAAATTCTGTCCCACTTTGAAGATAAAGTGAATGTGAATCGTAGCCGACTCACGTCTAAAAAATACTTCAAGCACACTGGTACTATTTCACACACCAACATTCCCAATCATTAAACAAATTGGTCCGTAGAATAGTTATCACACTAAAATTCAAACAGGTACAAGACTTTCGTAAGGAAGAAACTTACGCATTGACTGATTCCATAGGCACGTCAGAAGACTGCGAAACTGTGCATACATCAAAACTTCCTTGAGCAAGCGTTTCCGCATTAGTCAAATCCTTTGAACTTGAAAAAAGCAATTGTTAAAAAAGTAGTGGACCTCAACATAATAAAAAAGTGAGATGATAATCTCTCAGATAATTTACGATGTGTCATAGAAGTTGAGATACAATAAACCCAATGCAGTAGTACTGCATATTAATTGTTTCTCAACACTACACATGCACTTCGGATCATCATAGAGTTGAAAACAATAGGAAATTACAACCCAAGTCTATAAATCGCATTAAGATAGGGTTTATATATAATTACAGTTTATCAATATAAGTGCCCAAAATTCAGGCCACTGATTTAAAGTATCAATACGATGTACCTTATGATGAGAAAAAAAACCTTGATAATTCACAATGGAAACACACACTTCACCTTAAAATAATCAAAGCTGATAACAATGTCCACTGAGATAGCAGTTATCTTTACAGAAATGCTGACTAAATAGCACTAAGGTAGAAAAATTACAATTGCTGGGACATAGTGGTTTGCATAACAGATTTACAGTTAGTGAATTATATCTTCAAATATATTTCACGTACGTACGCTTGTACGGACACAGCTGATTAGTTTTGTTAAGTTCAATGCAAAAGTCTAGACTTATATAGACTTTATAGAATACATTCAAATGTACTAAGTATAATTAAGTAAAAATTTTCAATCGAAACTTACGAGTTCACTATCTCTGTACATAAAGGAACAAATTGATTTGATACGGAATCGAATATTGCATTATTTTCTTGTATTGTTGTTATCGGCCTTGAAAGAAATGTTTTAGAAAGCAAATGATACGATTCAAACGTATTGGTAGTACACTACATAAAAAAACACAATTCCCTGTTAAATTATTTTCCTTGTGTCGCAAAATCGAGACTATGTTTACAAATTAATTGTCACTTCACATACTATCCGAATGATCAAATAAGAACAGATTTTATGGACAGATCAACACTTCACAACTAAACTCTCATATATATTGAGGAGAATACTATAACGTCTCGAACAGTTCTATTTAAATGTGGTATTTAAGTGATACATTTACCTAATAATACAGGTGATTATATCGGTGCTATTCTGGACTAATACCGCGTTTGAATTAAAAGAATGTTTTATTTAATTACTTATAACATAAACATGGGTACAAAGGGGTACCGAAATATATATGAGCCATAATAAGTGGGAGGGGTATGATACTGCCTGATTGCCCAAAACGAAGCAGGTGGTTTTCTTAGAAGATCCACAATACAGTGGAGAAACGTTAGAAGATGCAGTTTCACGGTAACCGATCCCCAACAATAAGTTGATGTCCCATTTGTTCTCCAAGGATCATTGAGATCATCTGCGCCATTAGCTTGGATTCAAATCTTCCGAACTCCCCTAGATGGATCCTCTGTGCATACCAACCACGTTTAAGCACAGGATATTAGCTTTTCGTCCTCTCAAATTCATAAACAACATCATCGCTAAAAGAAGTGGATGAGTATGATTTACTTGGAAGTGGCTATATACTCGTGGTTATTATGAGAGGAAGTGCGGACTCGCTCCGCTCTTGGTAGTACCAAGGCAGTTGGGAGCCAAGATTAATTTGTCGTAATTATTTTACAATGTCAGGATGTAGATAAATGGAAAAAAGCAGTAGCGAATCTTGGATGTTAACTAAATTTTAAAAATTTGATGCGTCATCTCTAAACATAGCTAAAAGCTTTACAAATTAAAATCATATAATGTTTAGATCATTGTGCATAAGATACTTGCAAGTTATCAGTATTTGACGACAGACATCTTAGAAATACTATTCGCGTCTGCTGGGATCACCGGGTAAGTAATGGTGAGGCTAGATACAGGGTATTAGAGAATGATGATAAATCAGTTGATGAGATTGTGAATCCTCATCGACTGAGACGGTTAGCCACGCAGTAAGCATGCCCAACCACCGATTACCACAACGCACAATGCTGACAAGTGCTGAAGATGGATGGAAAAAATTTAGGGTCGACCAAACCAAAACGTGACATCACTCCTTCAAGTCATGCTGGTAGATGTAGTCTACTTGGTTGGGGTCCGCATGACTATCGAACCAATGGTTGGAGATCCCGGATAACATGGCTCAGAATCGGTCACAATGGCGTCGGTGTATACACTCCTTGTCTTCCCTCAAACTGTGAGATTGAAATTACTTTATTTATTTATTTCTACGAATTAATTCTTTTTTCCTGTACTACATCCTTATACACAATCTTTCTTTTATACATTAATACCATTGAAGTGACCACTTCTATGAATTCGGTGATCATGTTGCTGTGCTAATGAGTCATTGCAATTTAGACTGATACATATACGTGCCTGGTTCTACGTTTTAGCTGACTGACTGTTAGGCAGAAAGGAGAGGATTATGAGAAAATGATCGTTTATGAAGCCACTAGTTTGCTAACTCAGATAAGAGAAACCGAAATGTACTACAGATAAAATCTATGCTCTTTTATAGTATGTCACCCATAATGCAATATAGGTAAGTAAAGGAGGTTCGTTTTATAAACGTGAATCAATTGATGGATAATAAACGTACTAAACATGCACGTCACATACACAGGTAGTATTATGCCAGGATTCTTGTCACTTGAAATGAATTTGATTAAACTCAACAAAATTAGACTGCCAATTCGACAAGAAAGAAAAATAAGACAAATGAACCAAGAAAAACAAACCTCTGAGGTTTATCTGAATAACACGATCTTTCTACTGCAGAATGTTCTGTAACTTCAGCTTCACTCTCATGTACTAAATGTTTAGAAATGTGTCTCTTGCCATTTTGAATCTCAATAGGAATTAAATCTACTGGTTGAATGGTATGATGATCACGATTTATCGATTCAAGGATAAACTCCGGCAAAAAATCTTCACCAAATGAAAAACGAGCACCAGTTGTCTATAATAAGAGAGAAGATATGTAAAAGTAGTCATAAATACTTGTTTTGACATAGGTAACAATGAGCTTAAATATGGTCGGTATCCTTAATATAAAGAATATGTACCAAGTGCATGAGATTTGAATATCCTGAGTAGAACAAAACTACCTCATAAATGAATGTTCATACATAATTCACTTTTATAAACCAAAAGACGATTATTATATTAACATGTATCCAATCTTTTGTTTTCCCCCAACATTCCTGTGGCAATTTCGTTTTTTATTGATTTACCATTTTGAACTGTGAGACATGTTACTAATAAATCAGTTTCCTGGATTGGCAGGTTGTTCTAGTCAGACCAACACAACAGAGATACAACTTTAGATTGCATAAATGTCTACTGCTAGGTAATAAATGGTATGAATCAAGTCAGTGAAGCAGTATTTAGAGGAAACTCTTCATAGCCGTTACTCTGTCTTTGTTTGTTGTTATGAATCATGACGGTAATAAAACTCTAACGAAATGACATAAATTACATAGGAAGTCAGTAATATGAACCGTAACTCCTTACAGTAATAGACAAAACGGTGACTCGGGTAATTATGCACCAGACATTGATTCCAATGTTAACTAAAACCGCCATGACTAACGTAAGTCATTAAGCCTTGTGTTTATGCCAAACTGGAATTGATACATTTAGTGAAATTACTACTAGACTGGTCTTTGATTATACATTTACAAGCGCGCATTCCAAAAGCTCAGTGTTTTTAAACTTGTTGATTAACTTTGCTTTTGTGTGTTTGTGTATCAAAAGTATATTTGGTCAACTTTAACTTGGATTATTTCGGTTAAAGTTCGAGACTTTCTTCAAACTCGTATTGAAGTACACTATTTTTGGTTAGTTTTGCACCTCCTGGGATTTTGTGTATTTTTGTTGGTTTTTCATTTAATCAGACAGAGTTTATACAGTTCTATAGTTTGAGGTTATTATTCATTGAGCAAATGTTTTGTGAGTTTTTTAACGGTTGGCTGTGTGGACAGTGTTATATCCTAGTGAGAATTAAATTACGAGTAACTTCTGAGACCTATTAATGGACAAATATTATCTATATATTCTTGTGGTATAATTAGATTATGTACATCTATATTCCCTTTGTTATAAGCTTCATTTTGACCTATATATTATTATTGTACGGTCTACTGTTCCTGGGCTATGTTCAGTTTATTGACTACTGTCTCCCACGTTCACAGCCACATTTTGGCTTTAATGTGTATAAATATTATCCCCTATTTTATGGTGCGTTGCTGTCTGTTTGGTTGATAGATAAACCCAGGATGTCTGAAATAAATGATTCGCATAGTGGAGGCTGTTATTTATGTTCTACACTCGGCTGGTGCACGTAAACCTTCCTCCAAGGAAAGTATGAAAGAACTTGCTTTTATTACGTGAAAATGCATATACGGTGAAATTCATCCAGGAGTATGTCAAAACCAACGTACGTGCTAAGCACGTTTCAGTGGAAAAGAAAACCTTGTTATATCTGAGCTGTAAATGAGATGAAATCATTGGAATAGTTAACTACGGAACAAATGACTCAATGAATTCGCGTATTTAACGGCAGGACTGACAACGTTGCGCGGAACGAACTGCTCACTCGAATAAACAAACATTGACATATTCTCTTTCCTCAGTACTTTCAGCTGCATTTACATGTAAGCGGCGAAAAGACATTAGAAAGACCGACAGAAGAGTAAATGTTCGTATTTCTAAGCAAGTTTCAAAGAATTTGAGACTGAAAGGAGAAACGGCTTTAAATAGTACGATAGCTTGGCATTTAATTGATACAGGGCATACAATTGACATTCCCAAATCCTTCCAAATTATCGGCAGACAAAAAACAGTCTTTTAGGTAGGAATAAAGAAACTCAAACCTAATTTATGTATCCAGCCCCCAAATGCCCTAGTACGGCTGAAAGTGGGGAGAGTCCGCTCACCCTCTCAAAATGCTCTCACATGGCCACGCGTATATAGCCTCTGCAAGGGAAGTCCTACTCACTGCCTTATCGCACCACGGGTGGTGTTTACGAAAATGAGAGGATGAAAAGCGAATGTCCGGCGCTTTAACGGGACTCCACACTAATGGTCCACATGGGTTCAAGTATCCTGAAGGAACAAATGGCGTATTAGCCAATCGTTGGTCACTGCATCTTCTCACGATGCTTTACTGCCTTGTGGGTCAGATTTTCAGGTCGAAGGCTCGGGGTGTGGCCCTCTAAGAAAACCACCTGCTTCGGTTTGGGAACCTGGGCAGTATCACAGCCCTCACACAAATCAATTGAGATTTGTGTGGCGCATATGTATTTGGTGCCTCCTTGTACCAATATCTATGTGTTAAATAAATAAATAATAAGATTTATGTATCCACAAAGAAACAGTAACCAACTGACCAATACCTTGGTAAATGCACAGTTTTGAACAATATCACCTTCAGTCATTATTCCTATTATATTATTAGCGTTTATTTTGTAACAGTCTTCACCAAACTAATTTTTATTTTACGTACACCAAAATCATCTCTTTATTGAGCGACTTTTTACGTCTACTTATTTATCTAAACGCTACAAATCTCGTCTATTATTATCATTGTGTAATCCATCTTATCGACTTCTAATTCTAAACAATTACCATTTTGACATTTGGTAAAAGGAAGAACGAATCGAGCAAAGAAACTTCTTTTAAATTAGTGTTTCATTATGGTTTTACAGTCACATATATGATTTGATACAATAAAATAATACTCATCGCTCGATTTGTTTATTTTTTTAATAACTACATGTCTTTTATATTTATTCACAAGTTCTATAATTCATTACGCGATCTGCTTCATCCTTTTTCCAGATTTCACTTAGTTACTTTCTTACACCTCAACATATACTCGTTAACTAGCTGATTATTAAGAAGTGATTTAATACTGGCTTACCGTATGCCAAACGATAATTTTGGTAATGTTTCATATTTCCCATCGTCTGGAACTAATCATCAGATTGGACATTCAAGGTCTAAGTTTCGTTTTCGCACTGAGTAGTGGACTACGAGAATTCTTTACAAGAACACGTAATATCTAATTATTTATCTAAACACAAATATTGGTACAAGGGGGCACCAAATATATGAACACCACACAAATCATTTGATTTTTGTGAGGGCTGAGATACTGCTCAGGCGCCCAAACCAAAGAAGTTGGTTTTCATAGGGAGCTACATCCCGAACCGTCGACCTAAAGGTCTAGTCAATAAGGCAGTGGAGCAACGTCAGGAAATGCAGTCCCATGGTAACCGGTGACCAACAATGGGTCCATACGGCATTTGTTCCCTCAGGATCCTGGAGCCTATGAGCACCATTGGTTTAGAGTCAGGGTTTTCTAACTCCTCTACGTCGATTCTCCGTATCCACCATTCGCTTTTCGTTCTCTTAATTTTGTTAACACTGCCGATGAGAGAATGCAGTGAGTAGGACTTCCCTAGCAGTGGTTGTAAGCGCGTGGCTATATGAGAGCATTTTGAGAGAGTTGACACTTCCCTCTCGACCGCACCAGGGCATTTTGGGGCTACCAGTACCTGTTGATGTATTCAGGGTAAGATTGGGCTTCTATGGTACTACGAACTGCAAGGATTAGTATAGGTTGCTTGACCTCATATCCTTGATACTGGAAATTGACTTCGAAACAAGGATTCGGACTCTAAACACTCTATGGGCTTGAATATCTAAATGAGACGTTTTAACTTGGGCAAAAAACAAATATAGCGAGGATTATGAACAGCATACCTCGACCGAAGTGTCCTCCACCAAAGTTATGTCTTCATTTCGTGCTTGATACAGAGTTTGTGTATCCATGAAATCCAGACAAGGTTCATTGATACTAGGCCAAAACAAATCAGGCAACTGAAGATTTCCAAAATCATTTGATTCGTTGTACAAGTTTAACAGAGGTACTTCAGGGTCATCAATCAGCACACGAGTTTTACGCTTTGTATGAGATTTAGTACTGTACACATAAAACAATGAACTCGTTAAAAATGTAGAGCAAGAAATTGTGACGAATAGACAAACGAACTAACAAACGTAAACAAAAGTTTTACCAAGTGGGTAGGTCAATGGACCGGTTTGTAGTTGCATAAGCTTTCTGGCTAAGCTCTTGCAAGTCACCTAACATTTGTAAACAAATCAGAATATTTAATCAGCACGAAAAAGAACAGAAAAAGGTAGCCAGTATGTCTAACTTACGTAGCATAACAACAGTTTTTTCTCTGTAAATGATACAAATACCGAAAGTCAACTGTGATGCCAAGTACAATGATAGTCGAAGTTGTGTCTCTCCTAGAATGTATGAAGTTATCTCATTGCTAGCAGCAATAAAAGATGAGACTAAACATACCAAGCAGTAACAATATTGACAGAATTTAGTTCCTTTCTTGATAGCTGTTTTCTTACCCTGGTAGCTGCCAACCTTTAAAAAGTCAGTGATGTAAGATATCAAACCATATAATCCCGAACTTCCCTCGATGAGCTGAAAGTAAATCAATACTATAAAACATTAAAGATATATGTAACGTCCAGCCTTTGGTATGTATGCGTCTAGTTTACAGGTTTGTCAAGCGCGGAAATGTCTATGGAAATCTGAAAAAAAAGATGAATAAGTGTACTCATGAGGTGATGACCCAATAAACACAACATAAATTTATGCTTAATAATAAAAATTTTATAGTCCTGGGTTTTCCTTAAGCTTACTCGTGTTTTCTGTACCATGGATTCTCTCTTAAGAAACAACAAGATCTTCCCAAGCTATCTCAACAGACCAGCAAGAAATATAAAAAAACGCGCTGAAAAGTTTCCTTTATGCCCAGTATGGGAAATAGTGCAACATTTCCTTTTGCTGTCATTGTAGGTTTGAAATGCCAACGAATTATCCGCTTCTCATATAAGTGACTAGAAAATCTACGTTTCTTTGGATGTTTCTGCACAATTTCATGCACCGCTATGCATTGATTGCTCTATATGCTTCATTTAAGACTAATGCGAACACGGATCTACAGGTACATGCAAAAAAACGTCATTCGAAAGATATTTTAACAAATGGACATTATAAAATAAACGTTTCAATCCGTAACATCATTTGCATTCTTAAGGAAAACATATTAAATTATTTTTAACTGAATCTGTCGCGCTGCCATGTAATTAAGAAGACATTTTAACGGGTTTCCCGTATATTTCGCTCATAACTCCTTAATGATATTCAAATTGTTCTACCTGTTTGCCTTTACCATTATTATTATTAATACGGTGACTTAGTAGGCACATTAAACCCATTTACATACAGCTAGGATACTGATTTATAGCAATCAGTAATACAGTACAACTAAAACAATTCGACAATTACAGCCATAAGTGAGAAACGTTAAAGGCGTTACTTCAAGGCCGCCAGTCACGCTAGCAACAGATTTGAAAACCGTTACACGTGCATTCGAATGAGTTACGTTGTAGCACATACCATTAGCGTTTATTTGAAAGCAGGAGCGATTGACATAACACAAATATATTTAAAAATTGAAAAACGCGGGTCGAGTACAACAAAGGAAGCTTTTTAAAAAATGGGTTTATTCATTGTTCTGCAGGTTCAGCTTACGTAAGGCTTGTTCCTCTTCTTCCAGTACGTTCACTCTTTGTTGCTCTGCAATAAGGAAAACAATCTCACACTAGTAACTTTGCATCTAATGGTTTTTAATACCGTCACACTACCCCCTTTCTCCATGGGGCATTGTCCTCAGTGCCTGGTGCGGGACGTGGGTATGCTATCCCTCCTTCTGGTGGCACTTCATAGTGGCTGATGGCAGTTGGGGTGTTGACAAACGGGGTATCTGAGTGCACCGTTGTACTGTCTGGCTTTAATTGGTTGTAATGTGCCGTTATAACATCGTCTTAGGGACGTTGGAGGTTACGTAGGACAAATGTAGTGGAAGACCGAGTAAACACAACTTTATAAGGTCTTTGCCAAGGCTGATGGAACTTGCTGCATGTCTCTTGTGGGGCCAAAGGGCGGTGCAGTCAAACACGATCACCAGGTCTATACACGGGCCCGTTCGCCTTGCGGTCGTACACATTCCTTTGGTGTTTGTTAGCGTTTTGTAGATTGATCTTAACTAAACGATATGCGTCTGCTAGACGGCTGCGAAGGTTACGGATGTATAATACATGATCCTGAGCCTCGCATGGCAACGATGGTATTTGTAGCTCAACAGGTAGGCGCAATTCATGTCCAAAGAGTAAGATCGCAGGTGAAAATCCCATGGATCCGTGCACTGATATGCGGCACATCATCCCAACATTCCGTCGACGACATACTGATAAGGGATTGTAGGAGGGTCTTGATAGTCCTGTTTGTTCTTTCCACTAAGCCGTTAATTTCTGGGTGGTATGCAGTAGTGTGCGTTTTGCGGATTCCCAATATTGGCATATCTGGGCAGCAAGATGGCTTTCAAAAGCTGCACCTTGGTCAGGATGGAGTGAGAATGGAGCGCTGTACCGGGATACCCAGTGATCAATAAGAGCCGGAGCGACTGTGAGGGCATCTTGTTGTGGTATAGGAACGGTTTCACACCATCTGCTAAAATAATCTTCCATCACCAGTATATAGCGATTTCCGTTCTTTAGCGTTGTGAGTGTCCGCATAATATCGATACCAACTTGCTAATGTGGACCATCTGTCATCATTGCAATTAAGGGTGCACGGGGTATTTGTCGGGGTGACTTAATGGCATGGCACGTGCTAAAAGTTTTGCAGAATCCCGCCACGTCTTCATGGATGGATGGCCACCAAAACCTCTGGCAGATCGTGTGTTCGGTCTTCCGTTTTCCTGAGTGTCCAAGTTCTCAGTGCACCTGCTCCATAATATTCTGAACTTGTACATGTGGTACTATCAACAGTGACTTTTGATTCACTGTTTGTAAATAACGTGTCTCCACTTGGCCCAAAGATGGCTCATCGCCGAGGAATGATCCTTCAACTCCACCGTAGATGGTTCATGATTTCCATGTAGTTGCCTTTGATAAGTGAATCGCAGATCAGGGTCCGCTGCTTGAAGAGACGACCAGTCGATCTTGGTAGCTATGCTAATGACATCACTGATGGCATTAGAATAATAGGGTATACAAGACAGAGAATCGGCGTTTGTGTGTCGGTTTCCGGGATGTATTCACTAGTAAAATCAAACACCTGCAAGCTCTCCAGCCAGTATACTACCTGACTTTCTGGTTCACGGAACGAACGAAGCCATTGTAGTTCATGGTGGTTTGTGTGTACACGAAAGGGGTGTCCTAGGAGGTAGTGACGAAAAAGTTGCAAGACTTTTACCAAAGCTAGCGTCTCTCGGCGCGTCGTAGAATACCTTGTCTTTCTCTTATCTAACCGCCGACTAGCGTACTCTATGACCCGCTCCTGTCCAACATATGCTATTCGAGAGAGAACTGCTCCAACAGCTAATGAACTAGCATCTGTATCAAGTATAAACCCATCCGCTTTAGCCGAAGTATCCGGAAAAGCCAGTATGAGTGGAGCAGCAATACATGACTTCAAGGTACTAAATACCTCTTGACAATCTGAGGTCCACAAAAAGTTTGGTCCTTTATGCGTCAGACGATGTAAAGGTGCTCCTCGTGGTTGCGAAATCTCGTACAAAACGTCTGTAGTAAGAAGTGAGTCCCAGGAAGCTGCGAACATCCTCGGTTGTGGCCAGTTAATAATGACGCTTTTTTTTCCTTATCAGTTGCTACTCCCTATTTCGTAATGCGATGTCCCAAAAAGAATACTTCTTTTTGCAATAATCGATATTTAGATGGTTTCACTTTTAAGTTGTGCCGCCTAATATGTTGTAGGACTGCCCTCAAACTGTCATTATGCTGTTCTGGTGTGCTGCCATACACAATAATATCATAACGGTAAAGTAAGCACTTATGTGGTACGAGGCCATGTAGAACTGTCTGCATTAATCATTGGAAGGTGGCTGGAGCATAAGTTAGCCCAAAAGGCATCACCTGAACTTCATAAAGTCCATTCGGTACGTTGAATGCAGACTTCTCTCTGTCCTGCCAGTACCCGGGTGCTAGGTCTAAAGTCCAGAGCCAACACGCACCTTTCATATCGTCTAACGTAGCACCAATCCGCAGAAGTGGAAAGGAGTCACGCTTTGTTATAGCATTAAGGCGACGATAATCTATACATAATCGGGGAGAGGAGAGTTTCTTCTTCACTAGAACAATGGGTGAAGCCCAGGGTGATGGACATGGTGCAATAATGTTTTTCTCTAGCATCTCTTTTATCATTGATTCTGAGGCTGGTAGTATACTGGTACTCTGCGAGGTAGTTGGCGCAATGGCATGTGATCACCTGTCAGAATGGAATGTTGTACAGTGGTCGTTCGATTTCCAGAGATATTCTCCGAGAAAACAGAATTAAATTGTTGGAGTAGGGAAACAGTTGACAAACCAACGTTCCCCGTTATTTGTTCATTAGTTTGTACTTGACGTATGGCATCAGATACCTCTACATGAGCTACCGATTTAATTACGTTCTTCGGACGATGCGTTGGTATGGTGATTTCATCAATTTGTGCTACCAACTCAGCCACACGTATGGCGACTTTGTGTTTCAACATAAAGTCAACTTCAAGGATTACATCCCACGTGAGGGTGAGGCATATTGAAAATGCATGTGGAAACGAGTGTTTGCTCACCGTGACATCTAATCCCACCTTGGAGTGCGCTTCTATAAGGTCACCACTATCCGGTTTTAGCGCCGAGGAACAAGGTATTCGCCGGTTCTTATGATTCAGTGTGCGTAGAAATCCTTCATTCAAAATAGATATTGAGGTTCCTGTGCCCAGTAGAATAGTAGTTCCTACCCCCTGCAAACTACCCGTTGTCGTTATAGGATATACAGATTTAGAATAATATGAAGACAAATGACAAAAGCTGCTCTCACCTTGCTTCCAGAATTTATTACGCTCACATTTTCAGGCTCTTCGACCGAAGCGTTGGGAGAAAAACATTCGACTTCTCGATTCTGCTGATTGACTGAAAATGGTTGTCTAGCGGGCCGATAGTTGACCGCGGAAAGGGTTTGTGCGGAATCAAATTGATGCGCTACCTTCGACTTTTCACTAGCCGTTGCCGTCGAATATGTTGCAGTTGCAGAGCTTGATAACTTACTATCGGTCGTTAGGCGAAGGATTGTGGTTTTCAGGTCCTGCATACTGTTAGGTGGCATGCATAACAGGTGATGTCACAGTGCACCCGGCAAAAGCCCCTCTACAAATCACGAGCGTGTATAATTATGGTCTACTGTGATATTAGCATGGCTCTAATAATAGACATAATCCTAAAATTGTAGATTCGTCATGATGCAACTGCCTAATTTATAAGATCTTACGTGGATGTCACATTATTATCCACACCACCTCATCGCATCGTAACAATTACCAATACATGATGGAGAACAAGCTTAGGCTAGAGATGGAACAATATATTTAATACGAATAAAAGA